ATGCATTTCAGTAGGCGAGATGGTTATCAGCAGGAGCGGACTGACCATTCGAGCACTGCCCGAGGGCCCGGGGTCAGTAGGGGGCCCCATGAAATGCCCCTGGTACCTTTTTTATAGGCTTTTTTGAGTGTGTGCAAGGACACAGGGGCCCCATGATTCCCTATTGCCTGGGGGCCTCATGAGTTGTCAGTCCGCCCCTGGTTATTAGTTCAGCTTGGACACATTGATGCACTATCACTTATATAAATTTTACAACAAAAAAAGCAGGATTTTCATGGCATTACCGATGATAGGTGTGCATGTGACCCCAACAGCTTGCAATCTATGGGCACACAATGGATGAAGGCTGGCCAAGTGCCAGTTCACTTTGACCACACTCCTACACTGAGCTCTCCCGAAGACTATGAAAATATGAAACTTTCAAAACACAAAAAGCAGGATTTGCACCTCATTAACAATGACAGGGATCCTCTGCATGCATTTACCTCTAAGAAAGTGCAATCTACAGGCAGGGGCGGACTGACCATTTGGAAACTCAGGCACTGCCCGAGGGCACGGGGTCAGTAGGGGGCCCCATGAGATGCCCCTGGTACCTTTTTCATAGGCTTTTTTGAGTTTGGGCAAGGACACAGGGGCCCCATGATCCCCTATTGCTCGGGGCCCCATGAGTTGTCAGTCTGCCCTTGTCTACAGGTATGCATCAGCAAGGTGGCCAGGTGTCAGTTCCCCTTCTACTCACTGCTGCACTTAGTCCTCCGCAAACCTCTAAAAATATGAAACTTTTAAAAGAAGCAGCATTTTCATGGCATTAGAAGATGTATGTAGGGCGCATCAATGGAGAATGCCGTGGATGAAGGAATATCAGTCAGTAATGGATGATGAACTGGAACACTGGAACACTGGGCAGCACTTCCAGGAGCTAAAGCAGACTCTGTGTGTGGAGGAGGATGAGACAAGAAGGCGCTTCTAAGTGCAGTATATAAATTCACGTTAATGACAACGGTTAAAAACACTTACAAAATCACAGTGAGAACAGGCTCTGTATATTCCATCATGATGCGGGGGCTCTATCCACCATGCTGTTCCAACCAGCAGCTGCAGGGGGAGCTGAAGATGGAATGGCAAAGATGGCTGCCGCTATTCCGGGGTCACTGGGATGCACGCTGAAGCGCATGTTATCCAGGGGAACACAGACTGGAAGTGATGTGGGCGTGGACCGGTGACGCGTTTCAAGACCGATGCAGAAAGCACAGAAGAGCTGAATAAATAGGGTGGAGGGGCGGGGAAGGGGTGGCCTGAGGGGATGGGGGTTAATGCCCTCTGAAGACCAAAAACGAATGTGGACAGAGTGGGAACAATGTGAGATCCAGAAAGGGGGAAAAAACTGTTAAAAAATGAAAATATACAAATGAGAGATAAAAAATAAAAATGTAATAAAAAGCGGCACAAGAATGTGCAGGGAAAAAAATTATATATATTGAGGAAAATAAGAATTATAAAAATAAAGATGAAACATGTGCAAAGGATGTGTAGGACATGAAGGGATGAGGAAAAAACAGGGAGTAGAAAAAAAGGGGGAGGTGTTTGTGAGCTGGCTGCTGCAGAACAGTGGTGAGAGACCCCAGTAGGCTGCATGTAAATCACTGAGCAGCATGAGTATAATAGATATAAATTATAAAATACATAAAGAGTACATAGTGTATAGGAGAAATGAATTAATAATAGATAGATAATACATGATATATGAACCAAGCTAGGTAGATGAATTAGTACATCCATGATAAATAAATAAATAAGTGAATGAATGAACAAGTGAATAAATGCCTAATTCTGTGCACCACTACTGAGAACTGTGGTGCATAACAATTGGGTACATTCTGGTAAAAAAAAAATTAAAAAAATTGTATCTAAAGACAAGCAAGGGTATATATTTGCACACGCTGTGCACACATACGCAGGTGGGAACTAAAAAGGGTATAGGTAATAATGAGATAATGTAACAGAATGTAACAGATATGTTGGTCCCATGTGAGGGGGACAAATCAATGTAGTGAAAAGATATGGAGGTAATGAGTAATGGTGGTTCTATAAAATGGTATGGATCTCAATATCCTCATTCAAACCCACGGGTGATAGTATGTTCAGTACATAAATCCATTACGTTCCCCTACGACATAGTCGGTGAAATCTCTTAGCTTTAGGAAGGTCAGTAGGCATGGCCTCGATGACCCAGACTTTTAGACCTTTGGTGGATTTTTTATGCTGTTCTAGAAAATGTTGGGGGACGCTATGTTTGTCAATGCCGTCTTAAGGCGGCGATGCTCCCCGTTTGCATAGAGTGCTGATGGTGCTGCCTACATAATATAGGCCATAGGGGCATGCCACACAGTAAACCACAAACTCTGAAGAACATGTGTGGAATGCAGTCATTTTGTATGTTTTGCCTTTGATGTTGAACTCTTTTTGACCATGTTGGACAAATGCGCATTTTAGACAAAGTGGTTTGTTGCATCGATACATGCTAGAGATGGAGAATAATCACAGGGGGACAGTGTCTGACTTAACGGGTTTTAGTTTACTAGTTTGTTTTTAATATTGCAGGCTTTTGGGTAAGCAAACCTGGGTTTGGTGAGTATGTTTGCTGAGCAGATGTGGATCTTGTAACAGTATGGACCAGTGTTTCCGCATATTTTCCATATGTGTATGACAACTATGGAATTGGGTGGTAAATCTGATAGTGGGATTGTTGCCTCCAGGGTGAAGACGTGTGGTGTTGGGACCTGTATTGTATATTATAGCTCATTATCCAACAGAGGGACAATAAATATAAGCAATTAGTCCATCAAGTACAAATCATTTCCCAAGATATCATGGATATCACTTCTCAACTACCAGCCAGATGGCTCATTACTTTTTAAAAAAACGAATAAACATAAAGAAGACCTCCTTATTAAAACTAAATTAGGTAAATTCCACAGGGATTTACACTATTACAACCACAACAATGTATTCTCTTGGAAAAAACATATCTCCCACTTTATCCCCTCGCTCATGTCGCTCACTAACCTTTCTCCACCACCTCAAACCCTGGTTCTCAGCATCATAGACGTACACCCTCCTTCCATCCATTACCACCTAGGACAAAGCAGCCTGGCGCCACCCAACCACTTCATTCATCATCTAGCACAATTCACTCCAATCATAAGGATCAGAACAAAAATCATCACAACAACAGGATCGATCCGCAACATACACGCCCCCAACCATATACATAACACCACTTCCTCCTCCGTTAGTATGCGCCCAACCATCTCCAGGGGTGCCATCACCTTCATTGGGCCATCAACCAATACTTCTCAGCAATCATCCCTTCATGCCAAACATAGTCTTCAGACACCCCCCCCCTCCTTCATTCCCCCAATTCCAACATTCCCTCCATTTCCTCTGGTACCAATGCATATAACACCACCATCTGCCAGACGAACGCTATACCCTATTCTCACATTCTCCCATCATCCAATAGATCTGTCTCCACCACTTCATCCCCTATCATGAAGACTAATTCTCACACTAACACTAACACACTAACACCATTCCTAGTTCTGGCCCTTCTGTCCCCACGGTGTCTTTATTTTAGGTGTTTTTTAGGACCCAGCCTCCTCCCCCACAGACCTCCCAAAAGAACTTGCCGCAGAGGAGGCCGACCCAAGCTCTAACTTTGTATAACATGCCCATTTGTCCAACATGGTCAAAAAAATATCAACATCAAAGGCAAAACATACAAGATGACTGGATTCCACACATGTTCCTCAGAGTTTGTGGTTTACTGTCTGGCATGCCCCTGTGGCCTATATTATGTAGGCAGAACCATCCGCATTCTACGCAAACGTTTTGGGGAGCATCGCCGCCTTATCAAAGACGGCATTGACAAACTTAGTGTACCCTGTCATTTTCTAGAACAGCATAAAAAATCCACCAAAAAAAAAAATCTACATTTAAGGAACAGAATCTTACCGCCCCTGAACAAGCAGCTCTAAATACCCTCACTGCTAACACCAATATAGTCGTAAAATCTGCTAACAAAGGAGGTAGTTTAGTTGTCCTCAATAGAACAGACTATTTTACTGAAGCGTCACGTCTATTATCTGATATACACACTTATATTAGACTTAAAGGCGACAAACTAGCGCCCAGTAAACTAAAACCTATTAAGTCATACACTGTCCCCCTGTTATTCTCCATCTCTGGCACTATCGATGCAACAAACCACTTTGTCTAACATGCCCATTTGTCCAACATGGTCAAAAAAATGTCAACATCAAAGGCAAAACATGCAAGATGATTGCATTCCACACATGTTCCTCCCAGAGTTTGTGGTTTACTGTCTGGCATGCCCCTGTGGCCTATATTATGTAGGCAGAACCATCCGCATTCTACGCAAACATTTTGGGGAGCATCGCCGCCTTATCAAAGACGGCATTGACAAACTTAGTGTCCCCTGTCATTTTCTAGAACAGCATAAAAAATCCACCAAAGGTCTAGGTCATCGAGGCCATGCCTACTGACCTTCCTAAAGCTGAGAGATTTCAGCAACTATGTCGTAGGGAAAAGTATTGAATTCATGTACTGGACGTACTATCACCTGGGGGTTTGAATGAGGATATTGAGATTCATACCAGTTTATAGAACCACCATTACTCATTACCTCCATATCTTTTCACTACATTGATATGTTCCCCTCACATGGGACCAACCTATCTGTTACATTATCTCATTATTACCTATAACCTTTTTAGTTCCCATCTGCATACAGTATGTATGCACAGCATGTGCAAATATATACCCTTGCTTGTCTTTAGATACAATTTTTTTTTTTTTTGCAGAATGTACCCAATTGTTATGCACCACAGTTCTTAGTAGTGGTGCAAAAAATTCGGCATTTATTCACTTGTTCATTCATTTACTTATTTATTTATTTATCATGAATGTACTAATTCATCTACCTAGCTTGGATCATATATCATGTATTATCTATTAAGCTTATCTATTACTCATTCATTTCTCCTATACACTATGTACTCTTTATGTATTTTGCAATTTATATCTATTATACTCATGCTGCTCAGTGATTTACATTCAGCCTACTGGGGTCTCTCACCACTGTTCTGCGGCAGCCAGCTCACAAACACCTCCCCCTTTTTTTCCCCCTTCCCCATTTTTTTTCCTCATCCCTTCACGTCCCTACATCCCTTGCACATTTTTCATCTTAATTTTTATAATTCTTATTTTCCTCAATATATATACATTTTTTTCCTGCACATTCTTGTGCCGCTTTTTATTACATTTTTATTTTTTATCTCTTATTTGTATATTTTAATTTTTTTTTAAATTTTTCCCCCTTCCTGGATCTCACATTGTTCCCACTCTATCCAGAATAGTTTTTGGTCTTCAAAGGGCATTAACCCCTGTCCCCTCAGGCCACCCCTTCCCCGCCCCTCCACCCTATTTATTTGGCTCTTCTGCGCTCTCTGCATCGGTCTTGAAGAAGGAGCTCTGCGCATGTTCCGAAACGCGTGACCGGTGTAAGCTCATGTCACTTTCGGTCTGTGTTCCCCTGGACAGCATGCGTTCCAGCAATCCCGGAGTAGCTGCGGCCATCTTTGTCATTCCACAGTGTTGCAGTGATCACAGAGTGCTCACAGTTTAATTCGTAGTACATATGTGCACTATAAGAAATGATTTTATTTTATTATAAAAGTTTTTTTTGGCACATTTTTTTAAGTGGTTTGAGTTTTGCACTGAGTGATTA